TAAATGAGAAAGATTCCTGTAAAGGAAATGTCACTCTTGGCTAGTTCTTTCTTCTGTTCTACAATGCAAAGAACATCAGTTAAAAAGAGATAAACCAATCTGTCATTTCCATGCACCTACTTCCAAATTGCTTAAAGTGCTGCTCAAAAACAACATTCTTAAGTTATCCAGAGCTCCTCAAAAGCCAGATGGAGGGCATGCATTTCCCTCCACTATCACTGCACCCCTCCCTGGACCTGACTTTCAAAATTGAAGCAGAGAGCCAAAGAAGTCCTAGCCATCCCCCTGCTCATGCTTCCCTCCTGTCATAGGGAAGAGCTGGCCCTCCTGTAGAAGTTTCATTTATCATGTTAGGAGCTGCAGCCTGCCCTGAGTCAGGGATCTGAACAAGCACTAGGAAGCTAGCATGCAGAATATTACTGAAACATGAACACGCTGCTCCACAGAGAAAGCAGAGTGTGGAAGAGGGCCTGTGTTAGAGGGGAACTTCCAAAAGAAACTAAAAGAACAAAAGGGCATGTGTAAATAATGGGGATTTAGAATCTGAGTTAGATAATTGTGAGTCTGAAAAGACAACGTGACAGATAAACTGAACTTCTTTTTTTTCCAAGTATGGTGGGGCCAATAGTAGAATTTAAAGGCACTATTAGAGATTATATGGCCTGGTCCCTCATTTTAGATATTAGGAAACTGAGCTGAAAGCACTCACATTGTTCATCACCCCAAACCTAACCACCATCCAGACCTTCTGACTCTGGATCCAATGTTCTGTTTGGTATTGCTGCACCGATTAATGTAAAGGCTCAGACAGGTCTAGGTGGGTTCACATTCAGGTTCTCCTACTGACTAGTCCAAAATTTCTGACCAGTGACAGTCTCTGGGAAACTCATGTTTTATCATCTGTAAAATGGTGACAGATCTATTACTTAGTTTATGTTTCTACATTTGTGCTTTATAATACTGATGTTAAATACCTAGAACAGAGGTTGGCACATAGTAGGGATTTGATTAAATTTAGGTACTATTATTTTTCAATTACGGGTTGTTATATTAGAAATGTTTGTGTACCATCTGTGTGGCCAAGCACTTGGCTAGGTACTTTCAAAGAGAGGGGGGGAAAAAAATCATCACCCTCTCCAAGGTGCCTACAAGCAGCAGATTCATAAACAGGATGTTGACAATATGAAACCATTTGAAGAATTTAACTTGAACTCAAGGAAGTGGATTATTCATTGAGATAAGATTATATGAATCAACATAGAACAGTCTTCAAAAAAAAAAAAATCTTAATCCTAGGAATCTCAGAGAATCTCTTTCTTTGTGCCATGGGAGAATTAGTTTTATCATATGCCTTTAAAAGGAAGGTCTGAAATACATTTCTACACAATAGTCATGAACTTAGGCAACGGTAACCCAGGCAAAAATTTCTCAGATAAGTGAGAACCTGTAAAACAGAGTCAGTAACCCAGAACTATCCAAAAATGAAAAATGAACCAGATGATGCTGAGTGTCATGAAGTGATCATAAACCCTCGAAGTAGTTTGCTAAATGAAGGGCAACCTTGGACAAAATTGAAGAATTTGCTGTGGTTACATTATAAATGACATGAAATAATGAAGTCATAAAAAATGTTTGATCTGGGGGCACCTGGGTGGCTCAGTGGGTTAAGCCTCTGCCTTCAGCTCAGGTCACGATCTCAGGGTTCTGGGATGGAGTCCCGCATTGGGCTCTCTGCTTGGCAGGGAGCCTGCTTCCTCCTCTCTCTCTCTCTCTGCCTGCCTCTGCCTACTTGTGATCTCTCTCTGTCAAATAAATAAAATCTTAAAAAAAAAAAAGTTTGATCTGCCACTACTCTCTTACTAGAGGTCTGAGCCAGCAAGATGCTCTGTTAATGTAGGTGTCTAAACATGGATGCTGGGAATGGATTTCATTCAAAGCGTCAATAAATCTTTGCTGTTGAATGTGAGAGGAAATGCAGGTGAACTGCTACACATTTTGAAGGCGCATTCTACGACTAAGCCCTGAGTCCTTTCTACAGTGCAGCGCTCCATATGTACAGATTACAGAGCATAAATGAGATTACAAACTCCAGACTCCCCCCCCACCCCGCTCCAATTACTAGCCTTGGGACTCTGGGCTAGAAAGGTGAACTTCAAATCATTTTAGGTGATGAGGTTTCCATTTTGCTGATGGGAAAACTGAATAATTAAGTGACTTCTCTACAGATCTGTACCCAAAACAGCAGAGAGCTGGGGCGCCTGGGTGGTACAGTCAGCTGAGCAACCAATTCGTGGCTTGGCTCAAGTCCTGATCTCAGTGTTACAGGATTGAGCTCCATGTTGGGCTCTATGCTGAGCACGGAGTCTGCTTGAGATTCTCTCTCCCTCTTCCTCTGCCTCTCCTGCTCAGGCTCACTCTCACTCTCTCTCAAATAAATAAATAAACCTTAAACCATAGACAGCTGATTTTAGGTTCTCTGTTTATTAAGTCATGCCCTTTCTTTAAATTCTGTGAAAACACACTAAAAAAACTAACAGTGATACATATCAATTCTTGTATTTAGTAGTGACAGAATGAATCAATTTTCCTGTGTAGGTTAAGCAGGAAATCCTTTTTATTCTAGGAAAGCATGCTGAAGAAGTCCTGAAACACATCTGACTTCTCCATGACATGTAAGTGGGGAAAGGAAACTTAACGGACAATGAGGGCTGCCAAAGGAAATCACATATAAGGAAATGAACACCAAAGTAACGGCTCTACCACCATTGCCTTCTACTAGTACTGTGACAATAGATGTGGCTCTTTCTTTGTGGACTAAAATAAGTGGAGATGTTCAGTGAGCACACCCAAGCACAGCCGGGCTGGGTCACCGCCTGTTTTACGAACTGTATCTGTTCTGATTGGTTGGTGTTGCTGCCAATCTAGTTATTTTCAACTCCCAGAGAATGGGGTTAATTAAAGCAGAAAGGCGCCAGACAGAGGAAGTGGCCCAGAGTGGGGACAGCGGTTAACTAAAGAACACATATCCCAGTTGAAGTAGACACCTGCTTACTCAACCCCAGCTGGTTAAAGTCAGGCAGGAAAATAATTCCACTGTTGCCAGATTTTCTAATTTCTTTTTTTAGAAACAGCTAGAAACTCCTCTATATTTTTAAAATGTATATTCCTGATTCAACCTTTAAGATGCTGTGTTCGCCCAAAAACACTTCTCTAGGTCAGATCAGGGATTAGAGTTGCCTATTTCTTATTGAAGGCTGTCAGTCTGTGATTTCTGGAAATAGTTCCAAAGTACAGGTAAGTTTATTGATGGGGTATACCGCCCCCATCCTGATGGCAACAGTGTGTCATGGCCCCAGGGTTTCAGCAATTTTATGTGACTCATAAATAGGGTACAAAAAGAATTTAAGTTTACTAAAGGCATCCGAAGAACAGATAATTATTTCCACAGACAAAGAAAACTGAAGATGCAATTAGGAACACTTTTTTGCCTTTATTATCACCAATCAAATCTTGATATAACTTTTATTTTAACTGGAGATCATGAGCACAATATACTTCCCCCCTCCCATTTACTCTTCTCTTTTCCTTCTCCAACTTTCCTTAGTTTGAGATGTAAGATCATAGGATCTTTTGTGGAGATGACACAAGATACTATATGTAATATACTTAGAACAATGCCCAGCACAAAGTAAGAATTCAAAAACACTAAGAGCCTTCTGTTACTGTGCACATTATTTAGCAATCAAAGACCTCACAGGACTGGCCTACCACCTGGGGAAGCCAATGTTGACATACAACCGAGCTCTTACACAAAGCTGCTGCTCATGGAATCATTTCTGTGCCTACCCTCTTTAGCAATCTGTTTCTTAAATTAATCCCCATTTCACTTCCTCTGAGACAGCTGAGAATCTTTCATACACCAGAACAAAGAAGAAGAGAGGGCTCTGTAGAGCCTCTTGCAACAAAAGAGCTAAGGGCCTCAACCTCTGTTTTCCCCCTAGGGGACAGGGGTAGTTTTCCATTTTTTTGTTTGTTTGTTTCTCTGTGAAATGGACTCATCCCCCCTTCCAAGCTGCTTAAAACAAGCTCAATTTATACACCACCTGACCTATTTAACAATCTTTTTGGTTATTTGCAGTGGCTTAACCTATATAACCCAATAGAGTGTCTCAGTTATTTTAAAAAACACCTTATCACTTATTGGAAAGAAGAATATTTGATCCACAGATTCATTAAATTAGCAAGTAATGAGTTAGCACTGAATAAACACCAAGTTCTACTTAAATTTCACTCTTGTCCTCTAAGGTATGGGTCAAACCAGCCATCAGTAAACTAGAATCAGTGCCCAATTCAACATTTAGTTATTTGAAATGAAAATTCTACAGCTTCCTATCATAGGCACTGTAAGCAAAGACCAAACATTAAGGGAACGACAGTTAGATAGTGGGAGGAAATAAATAATCCCTTAGTCTTTCTGGGATCAAGTCAGCAATTTCCAAGCAGTCCTTGGGGATAGAGAATGGATGGTTCAGCACAACTCTGGCTCCCACTAGGGCCACTTCCCTAAGTGCCTTGATCTGCCTGACATCATATTGCAGGGATGTCCTGAGATGGATGGATACAAATACATGAATGGGAGTAAGCCAAACAAAAGAGTTTGCAGTGTGCATAGGAAAAATGGGTTTTTAAGGACTTCTTACAAAGAGTCAAAGTCTAAATATTCTTATTTCCTGCTTTTCAAACAAAACCGCTATTTTTCTCCAAGCATAACATTTTCCCAGGCAAATGCACTTGCATTTCTTAAAAATAGGAATTGAATTATATGGAAAATGGAGTTCCAGTCTTCCCTCCCCAGGATAAATGCAGCGCCTGCTGAGAGGTACCAGCTGCAAAAGCTGTCTAAGTAAATATGGCAACAAAAGGGGAATATTTACTTTGGCACATGAGAAAACGAAGTAGCAGTCTCACACAACCGGTTCAGTAGAATCAAAGAGAGATACCTGTAGGTTTTCAATTTCTTCTTTGTGTTCCCTCTTCAAGTGTAAAATAGCAGCTTGGTATTCTGTAAGATCACAAAAGAAGCCAATTACAAAGAAGCACAAAATTATGCACAAAATTCAAGTGAGCATCTCCAAGATGCCAGAGTCCCTCCTACAAGTAAACTAAGTCAATAAACGCCACAGTTTGACATTAGACTGACAAGAGATGTTGGAAATTGGGCCAAGAGAGGACAAGTAGCTCAGGATAGAAGGGAAATTTCCTTCCATTTGGCAAACCCTAAATTATGAGAGGCGCCAAATTAAGCAGAGAGGATAGGGTTAAAAAAAAAAAAAAAAGCATGATGAGTGTTCCAGATAAAGACTGGGTCAGGTGTTTGTCTTTAAGGAGGAGTTGGAAGCACAAGCAGCACTGAGAAAAATACAGACGTGTTAAGAGCAGACACACAGGAAATCAAACTTTGTATGTGAGATCAGAGAACTCTCTTTTTAACTGCTTAAAAAAAAAGAAAAATCTCCATTTGAATACTAGGTTAAGCAATCACCCAGGGCTGATTTTAATCTTTAGATCACTTCAGAAAGTTAAGACCATTTGTCATTTGGATGAGAAAATCTAGGGTGAGGAGGTTGAAAGGAGGACAAAAATAAATTTCTGATCCAATTTTAGCCTGAGTCTAATAATGTTTATTCCAACAAAAAGTCCCAAGTGTACACAAGAACTCCAGCCAACAACTAAAACTACCAGCCTGCTGGCTAAACATGAAGCAGCTCAGACAGCTTCACTTCCAGCAGGACGACTAAGTATGTGGGGTCACAGAACTATACAGACTGGTGGACCACAAAGCAAAATGCTATGGAAAAACATTTTTGTGGGATAAGTTGTTTTCTTAACAATGTGTTTGGGGTTGTGAGTATGAGCACTAAAGAAACAGATGTCATTTTAAAAATACATGAAAGGACAGACTATTTCTTCAAGTGGATATCAGAAATCAGGCATGAAAACTCAGATGTCGATTCAAAACTGGATGAAGGAAATCTTTGGTAAAGCCACAATAGGACAGGAGTGCTGTTGTTATTATAAAGGGTCACACTGCTGCTCTTATGGGGAATGTGTTACAGTGAGCTGGTCATCTGACAGCAAGTTCTGTGAATTTTACATCCAAACCATATCTTGACTCGAACCACTTCTCACCACCCCCACACTCAGGAAACACCACTATGGTCCAAGCCACCGCAGTGTGCTCCTCGACCTCTGCAATAACCTAGAAAGGTCACCTGCTTTGACGCTTAACACCACCACCATACCCATTCTTCTAACAGCAGTCTGAATTATCCAGTAAAGGCATGAACCAGAGTATGTCTCAGCCTGAGCTTTCCAATGCACTTATAGTGAAATCCCAACACTTGCTGCAGCCCATAATGTCCTTCACAACCTGGCTCCTACATGCCTCTCCCTGTCTTTGCCTTCTTCATTACAGACCAGGCACTCTGGCTTTCCTGCTATTCCTTGAACTTGAAAAGTCTTTTTCTACCTCAAAATCTTTACTAGTATTGGAGACAATGATATGGATTGTATTTACTGAGCATTTACTACATATCAGGCATTATTTAAGTACTTCATATGTACTGACTCATTTTTCCTCCCCCAATAACCCTATCATGTAGATACATTACCCCCTTAATGATGAAGACGTTGATGCATAAAGAAGTTAAGCAGCTTTCTTATTTAAGAAAGACGAATAAATTGCAGAGCTAGAAAACATACGTAATTCAAGAGTGAAGGCATAAACAAATTGTGGTATATCTATAGAATGGAATACTACTCAGCAATACTAAGGAATTCTTATAGATATATATGTGAACATAAATCAATCTCAAAGACACGCAGAGTGAAAAAGTCTCAGAAGTCTAATTATTGTTTAATTCCATTTATATGACATTCAGAAAAAGACAAAACCATAGGGATAAAAACAGATCAGAGTAGCAGTGGCCAGAGGGTTGGGGGGGGTGCTAGTATTTGACTACAAAGAGGCAGCACACAGGAATTTTGGGGTGATGTAAACTTTCTCTATCCTGATAACTGTGGTAGTTCATGAATTCACACACAAGTTAAAATTCATGGACCCGTGCACCAAAAAGAAAAGGTTAATTTTACAGTAAGTTAATTTTTAAAAAAATCTACATAAAATATTTTACTTTTAAATGTTTCCACAGGAAATTCAGCCTAACTCAAGAACACCTGTTACTACTATTTCTATTCATTATTTTCCTAAGAGTACTAGTGGATGCAATAGGATAAGAAAAAAGAAAACATGGGTGTATACACACAGTTATATATAAGAATAAAGGAAAAAAATTAAGCTATTATTCACTAAGAACATGTATTTAGAAAAATCCAAAAGACTGACTGCAAATAACATACTCAAATTAACATATGTGTTAGTAAAGTTGCTAGATATAAAATCAGTATATAAAAATCATGATACTAGCAACAGTTTCAAAAAGAAAACAACATTCATAGTACCCCCAAAACATAAAGTACTTAGAAAAACCTTGTAAAATTTTAAGACCTCATGAGAAAAACAGAAACTTTATGTTGAAATGTATTACCAAGAAATAGACAGAGAGTAAGCCATGTTTTTGATAAGACTCAATATTGTAAAGACGTTAATTTTCCCAAGTTGATCTATTGATTCAGTGCAATCCTGTTAAACATTTTTAAGGGTTTGGGGGTTTCTTTTGAATAAGGAGTTCATTCCAAAATATATATTGAAGCACAGATGTGCAAAAAGTCAATAAGAGCCAAGAAACATGAAAACATAAAGATAACTTGCCTTACCGTTTAATAAGAATTAATTTTCATTATCACAACATAATTAAAATAGCAGAGTGCTGAAAGAGGGATAACAGATAATAGAATAAAAGTGTCCAGAAAGACATGGTGAATTCATGGTCACTTTAGAGGACAGAAGTATCATGGAAGATCTTTGTTTATACCAAGAATGGTTTTTCTAATAATTACTGATTGGGAAATGTGGATATGTATATGGAAAAATGAAAACTGGATCCCAACTTTATACCAGACAATAACCTATTTTAAGTTGATTAAAACCTAAATTGAAAAAGCAAAACTACAAATGCTTAATATGACAATACAGCATAATATACTTTTTTGTATTTTCAGCATAACAGAATTCATTGTTTTTGCACCACACCCAGTGCTCCATGCAATACGTGCCCTCCTTAATACCCACCACCTGCCACCCCCAACTTCCCAACCCCCGCCCCTTCAAAACCCTCAGGTTGTTTTTCAGAGTCCATAGTCTCTCATGGTTCACCTCCCTTTCCAATTTCCCTCAACTCCCTTCTCCTCCCCATCTCCCTATGTCCTCCATGTTATTTGTTATGCTCCACAAATAAGTGAAACCATATGATAACTGACTCTCTCTGCTTGACTTATTTCACTCAGCATAATCTCTTCCAGTCCCATCCATGTTGCTACAAAAGTTGGGTATTCATCCTTTCTGATGGAGGCATAATACTCCATAGTGTATATGGACCACATCTTCCTTATCCATTCGTCCGTTGAAGGGCATCTTGGTTCTTTCCACAGTTTGGCGACCGTGGCCATTGCTGCTATAAACATTGGGGTACAGATGGCCCTTCTTTTCACTACATCCGTATCTTTGGGGTAAATACTCAGTAGTGCAATTGCAGGGTCATAGGGAAGCTCTATTTTTAATTTCTTAAGGAATCTCCACACTGTTTTCCAAAGAGGCTGCACCAACTTGCATTCCCACCAACAGTGGAAGAGGGTTCCCCTTTCTCCACATCCTCTCCAACACATGTTGTTTCCTGTCTTGCTAATTTTGGCCATTCTAACTGGTGTAAGGTGATATCTCAATGTAGTTTTAATTTGAATCTCCCTGATGGCTAGTGATGATGAACATTTTTTCATGTGTCTGATAGCCATTTGTATGTCTTCATTGGAGAAGTGTCTGCTCATATCTTCTGCCCATTTTTTGATATGATTATCTGTTTTGTGTGTGTTGAGTTTGAGAAGTTCTTTATAGATCCTTGATATCAACCTTTTGTCTGTACGGTCATTTGCAAATATCTTCTCCCATTCCGTGGGTTGCCTCTTTGTTTTGTTGACTGTTTCCTTTGCTGTGCAGAAGCTTTTGATCTTGATGAAGTCCCAAAAGTTCATTTTCGCTTTTGTTTCCTTTGCCTTTGGAGACATATCTTGAAAGAAGTTGCTGTGGCTGATATCGAAGAGGTTACTGCCTATGTTCTCCTCCAGGATTCTGATGGATTGCTGTCTCACATTGAGGTCTTTTATCCATTTTGAGTTTATCTTTGTGTATGGTGTAAGAGAATGGTCGAGTTTCATTCTTCTACATATAGCTGTCCAGTTTTCCCAGCACCATCTATTGAAGAGACTGTCTTTTTTCCACTGTATATTTTTTCCTGCTTTGTCGAAGATTATTTGACCATAGAGTTGAGGGTCCATATCTGGGCTCTCTACTCTGTTCCACTGGTCTATGTGTCTGTTTTTATGCCAGTACCATGCTGTCTTGGTGATCACAGCTTTTTAGTAAAGCTTGAAATCAGGTAACGTGATGCTGCCAGTTTTATTTTTGTTTTTCAATGTTTCCTTAGCAATTCGGGGTCTCTTCTGATTCCACAGAAATTTTAGGATTACTTGCTCCAGCTCTTTGAAAAATACCGGTGGAATTTTGATCGGAATGGCATTGAAAGTATAGATACAGCATAATATTTTTATAATTTCAGCTTAAGAAAAAAACTTAAGTGTCAAAAAGCATTACACATAAAGGAAAGAAAAGTGATAAATTTGACTACATTAAAATAAAGAGCTTCTTTTCATCACAATATGCCATAAAAAGAGGGAAAAGACAGGCCACAGATTGGGAAAATACACTTAAATAATCAAAGATCGTGTATGTGTGCATGTGTGCATACACAGTGTATTTTCTACAAAACTGCAGAAAATGAAAAATGGGTAAAAAAAGGACAATAGGTACTCTAAAAAGGCAACATGCAA